TATTCAAAGATTGGAGGAAAGTTTCCTTCCTGAGAGTTCAGCCATTGTAAAACAAGGGGGAAGTGAATGACAAGGCAAGGAGAGAGAGACCCTTAGTATGGCATCACAGAGCATTCAAATGCTCTCCTCAGCTCTACATTCCTTCAGGTTATTACTCAGCAGCTCAAGAGACTAAAAGCTTTCTGAAGAGACTGTCTCTTTTCCAAAGAACAGGCAGGCAGGGAGATAATACAAATGACCAACTGAAACACATTAAAGTCAGAGACATTTACCCTGTAATGAGAAAACACTCAGAAGAGAAGTCTGCCTACTGAACTATACAAAGACCCATAAGAAAAAGTTAGGGTCTGATACAGTAGGTGAGGCAATCTCTAGGTATACAATTGCTCTGCCTGATATTTGATGCATGGGGCCTGGGGAACAAAGACCCAGAGGATGTGCAAACCCGCCTCCAATTCTAGTACAGATACTCTGGAAGAATTTAGAGGAAGTTACTTATATATTTCCCTGATCCAAAAATTTCTGTATCTCATTTCTAATGTTTAAGTAATAGTTTGTGGCAAATATTGTACAAAACACAGAATTAGACATAGTTCCTAAAAATAGAAATTGCATTCAAAGTAAGGCAGACATCTTCAGAAGACACACCACGTGGGACAGTTTCAAGGCAGAGTTGCAGGGAATAGATATACATATGATGGTAGACTTTCACAGGGAAATCTGAGAGTCATAATTTCAAAAGATTTCCTTATTTTCCTATCTCTAGCAAGCAAATAATGACACTTGCTAGAGATCTCTTTGGAGAAGAGGGAAGGACAATTATCTCCTTGATCTTCTAATAACCCAAAGCATATCTTAACTACCTCCAGTTTACACATGAGTCTGGCTACAAGGTTCCTTCCTCTTACTCAAGAAGGATGCATGAAGGAAGGATGGGTGTGTACTGCTCTTTGAACTGACCCAGAAGGAATGACAGCTCGTGGCCTCAGAAATAAATCAAACTGAACTTAGTCTTTACAGGTTTAGACTCATGGCCACATGGCAGCAACCACTCCATTTGTGAGTGGCTACAACTGAATCCTTGCCGCAGGAGAGACTGGCTCTCTGAACGCTGGGTCAATCTATTCATTCATGTAGTCCTGTGTTAACTCAACCTTAACAGAATCTCTGGTGTACACAAGCTCTTATGAAACTAAGGTCTGACGTACCTAAGGAGGAGCCTGACCAAGGTCACACTCTAGGTGGCAGACAGGGTCTGGATTCCTCACTCCCAGTCTCATACCCTTGAGCTCTACAATGATGAATCACCAAGATTTTGGGTGACCAGAAAATGAACAAATACACAAACATATCTTGGTATCATGATTTCTAAAACTATATCAAATGACACCATTTAAACCAAGGACAATGGTTTCTATCCCTGTTTCCAACCTGATTTCTCTTTCAGAATATGCTCTTCAAGAAACCCTAGGCTTGGTAATAAGGAAACTGAAAGCCAGGAGTCCCAGACTCTACTGCAGGAACCCCAACACGATGTTCTGTGAAACTCCTAATAAATCATTCAGTTTTGTCTTGAAGCCACTGAATAACTGGAAATAACTTGGAGGCTGGTGTCTCAAATCATTCCCAAGTACACCCACATGAGAGTACAATTTACCCTGAGAATTGTTCAAATTCCACCCAGCAAGTCAGTAAATTGGCATCTCATCCCTGCCAAGAGGTGGCTCACATCAAAGTTGTCTTAACTTTAAAAGTATGTTTCAGCCTGTCTTCGCCAAGCCCGTCTGGCAGTCACCTTCTGAAAATCCACGAGGCCTTCTGATGGACAACACAGAGGAGAACAAGGATGAAAATAAGAGCCACAAGCCACTGAAGGACATGTCACACAGTATGGCATGTCAGTCTGACAGTGAGGCTTTGGGGCGCAGGCCTTCACTGATGTTCTGTGAGGTTTTGACACACTGAGGAGGAAGGGAGTGGCCATTTATGGAGCCTCCACATCTCAGTCACTGTGTTATGCCCTCTTCATATTTCAATCTGTCCTCTCAGTGTCCCCTCGACAGTAAAGTTTACCTTACCTGACAGACGTGGGCAACTGCAGCTCTGGTCACAGGACCTGACTGAGGTAATTCAGTTAGACAGTGACCAAGTTAGGATTCATATATGTCTGTGTTTCCCAAGCTCATATTCTTGTCACACCATACCCAAAATCTCCTAAACAAGAACACTTAAATGTTTTAAATAAGGAGCCCATGGAAAAGACACTTTCCTTTGACGGCTACTGGGCAAGGCTCCACTTCCACCAAGCAGCAGACCAGAGGCTGAGCGGTGTGTTCGCGTCCAGTAGGACAGGCTAAAGTCACAGCCCATTTGTCTGAAGATGGCACCTAAGGCCATTCACCATGACTGCTACCCAGAGAGGACTGTTCAAACACACCTGGGCAATCGAGGTTTATTTAGACCAGAAGAATGAAGGAAATTATTTACTGGAAGGCAACAGATTTTAATGATGAAGAGCATGGACTCTGGAGCCAGACTACCTAGGTTTAAATCCCACCTCCTATTTTGCTTCAAAATTCACCCCCTTATTGGGTTCTGTTATGAGCTTCAGTGCTTGTTGGTGTGGGAAAGCTTGAAGGCCACTGCCACAGGGCTCATTCATCCAGGCCTGGGTGGGTGGTATCGGCGGCCATTCCTGCTCCTCACCACTGGGCTGCTGGTGAGTCCCCTCCTCCCAGGGTGAATGCTAGAAGGATCCCAGTCTACATGTTTTGTAATTGATGGATTTGCGGTTAATTCCCAGCTTGCCACTCAATTGTGGATTACTTAATCCTACCAAACCTTAGTTTTCCTGTCTGTAAATAACTGGTAAAGTCACTCTTTAGGGAGGTGGGCCCTCTAGTAGAAAACAAGTCTTCTTTTAGGCCAGGTATGGTGTAATCCCAGCACTTTGGGAGGTGAGGTGGGAGGATCACCTGAGCCCAGGAGTTGGAGCACTTCAACAAGCACTGAAGCTCATAACAGAACCCAATAAGGGGGTCTGGCAGAGCAAATGGATAAGCAGGAAAGGTCAGGTGCTGGGGTTTGCTGAAGCTGGTCGGTGGGTACCTGAGGCATGCTGTCTTCTATTTTTGTGTATGTTTTTGAAATTTCTTGTAACAAAAACTTAACAACAAACCTAGGTTCCTACTTAGTAGCTATGTAGCATGGTCAAGTTTCCCGGCCTAGTACCTGTCTCATAGGGTTGTGTGAGAAATAAGTGAATGCTTTTAAAATACTAAGCTGCTATTATTTTTACAGTACCTATGAATACCTATGTCCCAGGACCTAGCCTTGGCTTTACAAATACACTATTTCAATCTAATGCTCTCACCAATTCTATGAGGCAAGATAACCTCCACTTTCACTCAGGAAAGTGGACTCAGGCATTCCAGTGCAAAATCTGCATAAAACCCCAGTTTTGCTCTAAAAGACTTATTTTGTTGTTGTTGTTTGTTTGCTTTGTGAGGCAGGGTCTCACTCTGCCTCCCAGACTGGAGTGCAGTGGTGCAAACATAGCTCACTGCAGCCTCAAACTTCTGAGCTCAAAGTGATCCCATTGTCTCAGCCTCCCAAGTAGCTGGGACTATAGGTAACTAATTTTTCTATTTTTTGTAGAGATGTGGTCTCACTATGTTGCCTAGGCTGCTCTCCAACTCCTGGGCTCAAGTGATCCTCCCACCTCACCTCCCAAAGTGCTGGGATTACACCATACCTGGAAAAGAAGCCTTGTTTTCTACTAGAGGGCTCACCTCCCTAAAAAGTGACTTTACCAGTTATTCACAGACGGAAAACTAAGGTTTGGTGGGGTTAAGTAATCCACAATTGAGTGGTAAGCTGGGAACTAACCGCAAGTCTATCAATTACAAAACATGCAGACTGGGCTCCTTCTAGCATTCGCCCTGGAAAGAGGGGACTCACCAGCAGCCCAGTGGTGAGGAGCAGGGACGGCCACCGATACCCGCCACCCAGCCCTGGATGAATGAGCCCTGTGGCAGTGGCCCTCAAGCTTTCCCACACCAACAAGCACTGAAGCTCATAACAGAACCCAATAAAGGGGGTGAAAACAAAACCTGAGAACTTGAGGAACTTTAGGCTGGCCGCCTCTGCCTAAAGAGGCTGAGAGGATGCTGGAGAGGATGCAGCAAAAAAGAACACTTCTACACTGTTGGTGAGAATGTAAACTAGCATAGCCTCTGAGGAATATTTGATAAATATTTTAGCAAATCTCTTTCCAAGGCGACAGGCCCTTGAGTGAGCATGAGGCAGAGGCCCACAGAGCTTGGGCAGCCCAGCAGAATCCCTGGCTCTCCAGGCCTCAGCTATAGTCCTTCCTTTCAACAGCTGCTTCCTCTTTCTGAGAGACTCACTCCAAAAGGTCCCAAATCTCCACTCAGTCAGTGCTATCAGTGAGCATCCTGCAGCCAGAGGTATTAGAAGAGTAAATCTCTCCCACAATCTCCATAACCAGCAACGACAGGAGAACAGGCACCCTCAGAATAGTTACCATGAATCTGACTTCCAAAAAGAGGCTGCTGTGTCAGAAACCAGAACCACACCTGCAATGCTGCTGAGGCAACCCTTCTAGCCAATTTGCAAGGAAAACTCAGTTAGAATGCCAACAATCCGCATCCTTTCAGCTAGGAACAAAACCAAGCTGACCTTTACCTCCAGGACACTGTGTTTGCACAAATGTTCAGCACTGAAGTGGGAAAGACTGGTTTAAAAGCACCTGTGGATATATTCCAATTCGAATTCTTATTTTGCTAAAACAAGCCAATTCATACACTCCTCTGTCCCTCTCAATTCTAAAATGATCCAGTCGTAACTTTACTGAAAATGATGACAGAGGGAGTAAAAGGGGATGGAGAGAGTTAGTGCAGAGAAGAAAGGAACAGGGCATAGCCAGGAAGGGAGCCCCACAAGCAGTGCTTCTTGGCAAACAAAATGAACATCCCGCATAAGGCTATTATCTCCTTTATTCAAAAAAATAAATATTTCACTTTGCGTCAACATATTTCAAACCACATTAAGCACAGAGAAGAAATACAGTCCCTTTGGAAACTTCGAACAGGTGTAGTAAAGTCATGTTCCAAATAATGGGATGAGGTGATTCCAGCTCTTCCTGACCCAAGACTCCTCCCTCACAGGTAGAGCAGCATGTTGGTTTTAGAGAGAAAAAAAAGACACACACTGCTTTGAAGTCTGAAAGGCACATGAAGTGGACCAGAAGGTGTATGGCACGGTCACTGATAAAACGTTCCCTATTCCCTTCCAAGAAAAGTGGAGAAACTGTATAATCAAGTCAAAGCCCAGAGAAGACACAGCGCTCCAGCTCGGAGCTCAGCGGCATGAATGCCTCTGAACACAAAAGCCATTTTTTGCTTGCTTCCCTTCCCGCGCCTCCTCTCCCTGCCGACGAGGCCCGTGGCCAGCCACAGTGCTCACTCAGTGATGGTGGGGCGTGTGGCCACGTAAACAAACACCACAATCAGGAGCACAACCACAGCCAGCGTGGGCAGCACCACCGTAGTGATCTGCTGCCGAGCTTCCTGCATGGCTTGCTTCCGCTCCTTCTTGTCCTTGGACGTCTCCTTCTTGGGCTTCCCTTTAAGCTGCCGCATCTTTCCCAGAGAATGCTAGGGAGGTGTGTCCAGAGGGCCTGGAGGAAGGACTGCACTCCGTGTCAAGGCGTGAACCTCCTGCAGGGAGAACAACCATGATCAAGAACTACCAGAGTGAAGAAAAAAAAAAAATCAAAGTTAAGAGCAAATAATGAACTAGAAAAAAATATCTGCAACTTAAATGTGGACGAGACCCTGGGTACCAGACAAATAAAATAGTGTTCCATGTGTGACAGGAGGGAAAAGGACTGGGAAGCACCAACTACATGCCCTGCTTGGAGGAGAGGGAGGTGCCTCTCTCACTTCCAAGGTCTACCCACCTGCGTCACTGCCCCAAGTTCCATGAACTGCCCAGCCAATCTCCAGGATGAGCCGTGGGCAGCCTGCTGTCTCCAGGACATGGCTCCCGTCCTGCCCCAGCCAGGGGTATCCTCAGTGAGGAGAGGCACTAACTTTTCTTTCATTGGTTCCTTGCTCCCTTTGTCCAAACCTTTCTGAGTACCTACTATGTGCCAGGCCCTGCTCGAGAAGCTGAAGCTAGCAATGAAGGACTCGGCTGTGGCTTTCCCCCTCAGAGATCAGTCTAGGGTACATGATGGCTTTTGTGGCAGGGTGGAGCCTTGGGTCAGACCGACCAGGAAGGGACATGGCTGAGCCTACAGTCTGCTGCCTGTTCAACCTGGGGGTCTCTGGTGGTGAGTTCTGCGGCTGTCGGGCCTAGGGAATGAGCAAAGCCCTTGCATGATCATAGGGCAACATTTCTGTGAAAGTCTGCTTCTTAGCTTTAAGCAACAGAAGTAGACTGTGCCTGATTAAACTGAAACCTGTGGCATCTCACCAATTCCCCAGAAAAGCCATAGAACCGGATCAGAAATGGGCAGGACAAGGGTGCTACGATGCCATAACTTGAGCCCAGGTCACTTCCCAGTGTGAGGATGCCACCGTCTGCGTCACCACCTGCCAGCACTGGATACACGCACGGGAGCAGGGTGCTGGGCCACAACTGCCTCGGAAACTGCATGTGGCTGCTGGCATGTTTCCAGGGTGCACACAGCCAGTCTTCCAACATCTACAGTTGGAGGCGTGCTTCTAAGCACAGTGAAGGGCTGGGGGCTGGACACTGGGCAAGGAGATGAGGAGGACAGATGTCCATTACAATATCCCAGAAAAAAGGCACAACGTTAGGAACTCTTGGAAGCAAAAGCACTGTACATCAACATTCCTCTAACAAAGGAACTTTCACCAGGTATCGTATGGCCCTGGGCAGGAGGTGGCCTGTTATCACCTTGATGGGGAAAAGACATGGACACCTAAGTGACCATGTTAGGTGATGGAATGTGGATTCTGAAACAAGAAAGGTCTTACTGATACCATCCTGTTTTGTATAAGGGACCCTAATCTCTTACTATCCCTCTCATCCCAGAGAGACCTCAAAACCTTTTTGTATCATTCACAATCTGGCAGAGTTTCTTTGGTGTGATGATGAGTTTTATTGCACTAGGATGACATAATGCCAGTCAAAAGCAAATGTTAAGGTTCAGGGCAGCCCCATTTGGGCAAATGTATACTTTCCTTCAGGAAGTTAGGAATAGAGAGTAAAAAAAATACTCACTGTTAGTTTCTTAAGGACCCCTACCTTCGCCAGTTCTCCCTTTCATGTCTTTCACAGGACTTTCAGACAGGCCCAGGTTCAAATCCAGGATGTACCACTTACTGGCTAAATGGATTTGGGCAAGACACATAACTTCACTAGGACTCAGTATCAGCTGAACAACAAAAACCACTTCTGTCTTTAATAATGACTGTGAGGGCCTGAAAGGAAAGTGGTGCATGTCTACAGGGCTCTGCTGCCCACAGGGAGACAGCACAGGTGCCGACACATCACCACCACATATCCATGTGCTCCCTGGATCAGTGCACCGGGCTTCTCTACCCCTGACTACGGTGCCTACTCTCCTGGGACTGAGGACAGATCAGGGGGCTATGAAACTTGGCATAGGTTCCAGAACTGTAGAGAGTAAATTTCTCATTTTAAAGCCATCTCCTTGGTGGTACTTTGTTACCAAAGCCCTAAGAAACTGACACAGGTGGCTTAAATGTTAAATGAAAAACTGCTATATTAAAATGCTATATTTAAACAGTATTTAAAATGCTCCAACAATAACAAAAAAAAAGAAGCTGTATAACTCAGGGCTCAGCACAGAGCAGATACCACTGGAACTCACCCCAACAGCCCTACAAGGAAACAGACAGCTTTACTGTCCCCATCACAGAAGGGAGAGAGCAAGGAAAGATGCCTTGCCAGCAGCCACCCCATCTGTAAGCAGCACCCACAGCTTCTAACAGAGCTTGACAGCATCCTTGTCCCCAGCTGCAACCACAATCCATTCTCTCCCTGACATAGTCTCATACAATTGTTTAGGGGATAAAAAAGCAACACTCTGATTTATGGCCATTTCCTCACGGAGCTAATGTTGCCATACTGCACAGGCCTAGCAGGTGGCACCATGAGCCCTGGGCTAGCCACTGCCCTGGCCACCCTGGCTAGCCACCGCCCTGACCACTCTTGGCTAGCAGTGCTGGACTGGTCTTATCCCTGAGCCGCAGTCTGCATCCTCCAACACACATGCAGTCGACATTCACAGCACCAGCATTAACAATGCTCTGGTATTTGCAAGATGCATCCAGAAGTTCTTGGAGACTTGGGAAAAGCCACAATTCCTGGGAACAGTTGCCAGTCTGGTCAGGATTTTAAATAAAGTAAGATGGTCTGAATCCCAGGTTCTACGTCAGGCTACAGGGGGCAGCCTCCCTGCACTCACTTGCATATGGGTATTGAGCAGTAAAGGAAAGTTTTCGTTTCTGAGATGACAACTGAGGCGAGGGCCCTACAGTAACAAAAGCTGGGAAGAGCAACTGGCAGAGGACAGAATGGCCGAGCTGGGCAGGCCTGGCTTACCGAGGAGAGGAAAGAGGAGGAGAGGGCTGAAGGGAGCCTAGTCCTAGTCCTCTAGGATGACCCAAGCCGTGGCAAGGAGTGGGGTGTTATTCCAAGAGCAGCACAAGGAGTACTAAAGGGCTTTATACAGGGAGGTACATGCTTTAAAAAGCTCCCTCTGGGCCAGGTGTGGTGGCTCATGCCTGTAATCCCAGCACTTTGGGAGGCAGAGGCAGAGGCAGGAAGACTGCTTGAGCCCAGGAGTTTGAGGGCAACTTAGCAAGACCTCGTCTCCACAAAAATTCAGAAAAACTAGGTTGGCATGGTGGTGTGTGCCTATAGTCCCAGCTACTCAGGAGGTTGAGGCAGAAGGATCACCTGAGGTGGAAGCTGCAGTGAGCCATGATCGTGCCACTGCACTCCAGTCTGGGAGACAGAGTGAGACTCCAACAATGGGATGGGGGGTGGGATGGGGGATGGGATGGGGGAAGGGAAGAGGGAAGGGAAGGGAGAAGGGAAGGGGGAAGGGAAGATAAAAAAAATAAAAATAAAACTCTCCCCCTGGCCAATCTGTGGGGAATGGCCATGGGGGAGTGTAAATGAGGCTTTGGAGCAGATCTGGTGGTGGCTCGGATTTGGGGCGGGTTGGTGGTGATGGAGATAAGGATGGAGCTTAAGTTCTAAAGGTCCAAGTGACGGGCCCTAGTGCAGACTGAATGTGACAAGTGAGGGGACAGGGAGCAAGGAAGAACCCTAAGCCTGAGTCACTGGATGGGTGGTGATCTTGTCTCCTGGGATGGCAGAGAAGGAATGTGGGAAGGGTGGATTTGAGAAAGAACAGTGAGCACCTTGCTAAGACCTCTCCATGTGTGAGATGCTTCTTAGACATCACCATGGAAAGGAGGCAGGAGCAGAGTCTGGGCTGGAGACCTGTATCTGGAAGTCATCAGCTGTTGGACTAGGAGAGAGACCACCCCGGACAAGGAGTATAGAGAAAGGGCCCAGGACAGAGTCCTGAAGCACCAACAGCTACAGGTCAGGGACAGGAGGAGCAAGCAAGGGGCCTCAGGGGAGAGGCAAGTGAAGAAGAAAAAGAGAGAAGTGCACCTTGGGGGCCAAGAGTCAAGAAGGTCACTGCCAGGAAAACAATGAAGATAAAGCAGCACCTCCTGGAACTGGGAGGGGCATGGTGAGGGTCTGACAGGACTTCTGAGAATGCGGCCAGCAAACGGTACTTGTCTAAGAGAGAGGCGCTCATGGAAGTGGACATGCTGCTTCCTTCATTGGGAAAGTCTTGCCATGGAAGCAATGCCAGTGGCACAGGCCAGCACACAGCGGATGTACACTCTGGTGCATGCCCTCTCCTGGCAACTTGTGATGATTGGTTGCTTGCCAGCACTCCAAACAGCACCAGGACACATCTGGTGTGAGGCGCTGAGGAGAAACACATGCAGCCAAAGGGTTTTTCTTTCATTTTTTAAATAGTGGGAGAAACCAGAGAACATTTGAGGGGTCTAACAGGATGGGAGAAAACCCTGATGATTACAAAAGAGGGGGGTCTCTGTAGGAGCGAGACAAGAACACACAGCACACAGGGACAGACCTGCCTTCCAGAGACAAAGCACCTTCAAATTCAGTGGGAGGGAGGGGCATGACCCTGGGCACAGTGGCGGCTCTGTACAGGGGTCGAAAAGAAGAGGCTTCTGATTTTCCAGTGAAATAGGAGAGGGCTTCAGCGTGAGTCTGAGGAGCTGAGAGGTAGGCTTGAGGGAAGAGAAGCCACAGATCATCATCTTGGAGGGTGAAGAGGAGGCCTTAGCAGAGAAACACCGTCCTTCAGTCCTCACCACCCACGTGCTGCCTCCCTCTGAGCTGAGGACCTCCTCATCACAAGCACAGCCCCAGGGACTGCGCTGGGTGGCCTCCTGGGCCAGGGTGGGCTCATGCGGACTCTGCCAAGACCTCTGAGGTGGGGGCGAATTGCCTCTATTTCAAAAGCCTGAGAAACACGAAGGGACATTAAAGTTGGACAATTGCGCAGATGCAGGCACCAAGGAGGCCAGGTGGAAGAGAGGCTGGGTGAAGGAACAGAGGCCACAAAAAGCCGCCACCCTGTAAAGTCGGCGCTACATAGGCTTAG